CCCGGGGAAGGGGGGAGACTCCCTCCCAGCCCTAACCCGCTGCCGGGAGCGCTCCAGCCCCGCGGGGAAGCGCCGCTCGCCCGTCCCCAGCGCCCCCGGGGCACTCACCGTGCTCGGCCGGGCGGGCAGCGCCGCCCGCCCCCCACAGCCCGCGGGCCGCCCGCCAGCGCCGCGGGGGCAGCAGCGGCTCCGCCTCAGCGCCGGCCTCCATCGGCACCGCCGGCCGCGCTCCCAACGCGGGTCGGGACGGGACAGGACGGGACGAGAGAGCAGGGAGGAGGGGGCGGGATGGAGCGGGACCGAGCCCGCCCCCGGGGCGGCTCCGCCCGCCGCATGTGACCGGCTGAGGGGCAGGGCGGGCACGGCATCTTCCCGGCTCCGCCCGCCGCCGGCAGCCAGCGCTGCCCCCACCCGACCATCGGTACCCAGGGGTGCTGTCTCCCACCCCGCCGCTCCCTTCTTCCCTAGGCGTAACTTCGCGCCCGGTTCTCTCTACCTCCTGCCCGCCAGCGGCGCGGGGAGGTGGGGATGGGGGTTACTCTCGGTGCGGCACAGGGCGGCTGTGCCGCTGCGCAGGGAGAGGGGAGTCCTTCCCTTGCTCCAGCGTGGGGTTCCTCCCACGGGAATCAGTCCTCCCCGAGCTTCTTCAGCGCGAATCCTTCCCACGGGCTGCCGTTCTTCAGGAACTGCTCCAGTACAGGTCCCTTCTGCAGGGTGCAGGGAACTGGCTGCCCCAGTGTGGGTCCCCCGCAGGGGCACGAGTGTTACCAGGAAACTTGCTCTAGGGTGGGCTCCTCGCTCCGTGGGCCGTAGGTCCTGCCAGGATCCTGCTCCAGCTGTGACCCACAAGGTCACAGCCTCCGCCGGGCATCCACCTGCTCCGGCGTGGGGCTCCTCCAGGGCCTGCAGGAGGACCTCTGCTCCCCCATGGACCACACCACGGGCTGCAGGGGAATCTCAGCTCTGTTGTCTGGAACACCTCTGGCCCCTCCTTCCCCACTGACCGTGGTGCCAGAGCTGTTCCTAGCACATATTCCCACTCCTCTCGTCCCAGTCCCCATTTACATCTGTGCAGTAATCTTTTTTTCCCTTCTTAAATACGTTATCAGAGGCATTGCCACCATTGCCTGCCTTGGCCAGCAGCAGGTCCATCCTGGAGCTGCCTGGCATTGACTCAATTGGACGCAGTGGAAGCTTCTGGCAGCTTCTCAAAGAAGCACGTTAACATTGTATTATTCTTGCTATTATTTTTTATTTGAATGAAACCAAGTGTTTCCTCCTTTCCTCTTCAGTGATTGCCAGGAAAGACAAAACTAGCAGCTTCAGGAGGAAAAAAAGAAATAAGAAGCCTTCCAGTATACGATGAATTCTTGAGCTTCTGTTCAAAATTCATCCACTCCCTCTGTCTGCAACGGGAAGTAGAAGTGCCCAACTAACTGTGCAAGAAGGCAAATACACCTGGAGTTTTCCATCAGACAAACAAACATTCTTCACACCAGCAGCATCCAGTAAGCTAAGCTAGTTATGTATTTAAATAAATATAATAAACCCACAACAAACAACGCAGCATCTTTAAATCCAAGTGAATCAACTCTCTCTGGGTCACGAGAAACAAATGCGGAGAACGTGCTCTTTAGCAGACATTTCTCAGTGGCACAATGCAGGACCATTTTAACTGAAGTCTCACTAGGTCTAAGCTCTTCTGCTGTTTGAGTGTTGATCGCCCTGAACTCCAGAAACGCGTTTCTAGTTTCCCCTATTAAAAGTGCACCTTTCAAAACAAGTTTTAAAAAAGAAACAGAAACAGCTAAACATCAAATGAAAAGGCAGAAAAGGGACTCAGGCACTGGACACACTTAAAAGACCAGGGAAGTTAAAATTTAAGCTTTTGCAAACAGGAGGTGGAAAGTGGGAAACACGCTAATTGAGCTCAAAGGAAGCTGGTTTTATATTTCATTCTGCAATATTCAAACAAAACAAAACAAGAAGCTGAACTCTAATTTTGATTCCACTAACAAGGAGATTAGTCATCTGCTAAAAGGTAGACATGACAGTCTACAAAGCCAATGTTAGATAAATAAAAAAACATGTAAAATAAGAACTGAGACAATTAGCATGACAAAATTACAAGTTTATTGCAAAGTAAGATGAGTTTTTACCCTCAACAGCACATGCCAGAACAGTTAAAATTTTACTTTCAGCAAAAATCACATCCAATGTATGAGAACCAAACTTCATGTTTGTATGTGTATTTCCTTTCACAAACGACTACCCTGCATTTATTTGTTTATTTATGATGGGCTTAACCAAATATTTTAAATTAAGTAGTTGAAGGAAATCCTTAATAAATGATTCCTTAGCCCATCTACAGTTTAAGTATATTGGGAATAAACCAGGGAGTCAATAAAAAACCCTAAACCAACAACAAAAAAAGAAGACTTGGTTACAACTGTCAGCTCAACAATTGCTTGGGTCATCGTTGCTCATCATCACAGTATAATCCAGTTTGGAACATTCTGCTTGGCAAATTAAGCAAGACATGAAATCAGTCCACGTCTTCAACTGGAGAAATTCCTTCCTTTTTTTCTAGCTTGGATACCTGCAGGTAAAAACGAAACCAATTCAATAGTAAAAGTGTGCTTGCATTTAATGTCTCCTGTCTTTTCAGACTTCCATCACAAAACAGGGTAGAGGAACCAACAGTGGGATGCACTCTAGAGCACAGCTGAGCTGAACAGGGTGTTAGTTGCAGTTAAAAGGTCAAACTTTCTTCCCCTCCACCCCTCTCAACCTCCCTTTGGCCGCCTGCTCCTGTCACTTCCTAGTTTTTTTGTCAGTTTGGTGCCTCCATTTGGCTGACCAAGGAGTGGGACAAGCACCAAAGCCACCTCAGAAGCTGGGAGAAAACAGAGAGGCAGGCAAGACTGCCCCTTTCAGTGATCACCTGTCAGATCAGATCAGGTTATAAACCTGGAACCTGCCCCTAACAGAGAGCCCAGAATAATTAACGTGACCACAGGAAACACTTTTCATGCTCACATACACAGTTCTATAAAACTGACCTTCATTGTTCTTACTTTACTTAAGGAATTACCTTTATTGTTAGGTATAAGCTGTTGTTAAGGTTAAGAATATAAATAGTTTCTACAAACTTAGGGAGAACAGACCAAGAGCACAAACTAAACAGTGTTCTGCATGCTACCTCTAACTCTGGAAAATTCTATTCCATGTTCCCCCAATCTGTGGGGATATAGAGGGAGAGTCATATTATAAATTCCCTGTTCTCATGTTCTTCCATCAGTATCTGCTGCTGGTTGTGAAAGACACACAAATATCAGGTTTTTATAAGGTTGACAAAACTTTTGGTCATTGTGGAACGACCAGTAAACACTGGAAAAAGCAGTGGGCAGCCTGCAGATACCTGATCACTGGGGGCAGATGTGCAATCTATCTTCTGTTCCTTCAAATTATGCCACCTATTGAAATCCCAATGAACATTTTGGCACCTGGAAGTTGTTAGAAGTGCGTGCTCTAATCACAAATCCTTTATTTCAGACACAGCTCCAAGGCAGGAGTGCTACTAGTGCTCTAAACCACTAGAAGGTTCACCCCCTGGGTGGAACCCTCAGTTAGGTAAAGCTGAACGACATTAAAACTCCAAGGGCATACCTGGCAATTCCCAGCAAACACTCTTATTTAAAACTTCCTTTTACCCCTGTTCCTTCTGCAGCAAATAGAAAGGGAATTTTGCACTTAAAAAGAGTGGACAACTAAAGTGGCTTGACTACACTACAAACAATCCACAGCAAAAAAACTCTTTCCACGAATCCGAAGGATTTCTCCATCATTAGCACTCCAAGCTGTTTCCATTCACAAATGAGCTCAAGCTGTAACATGACTCTTCTACAGGAAAACCTGGCATTACCTAAAGGTGGGGTTTATGTCGAGTTTATATCTAATTTCCACAGGCCTGCTACTACACCAGAAAAACCTTGATTGCAGGTTAAGTCCCAGGAGCAGAATTCCCAGTGAGACATTGTCCTAGAGAGTGACTGTCTTCAGAAGTACAGTTGTGCTGAACACACACAATAAGAGGAAACCACATTCCCTTTCTTGAATATTATTTTCCAGTCTTGCAAAAAGCTACATGAGTTACCAGTCCAGGTTACTGCTGAACTCTTACCAGTCCAGGTTACTGTTGCCTACATAATAAAATCTTCCCCAAGCTTGACTCTCAGTTTTCAGGAATAAGTTGCAATGGCCAGTACCCTTGCACAGCACAACTGCTATTCCATACAAATCTGGTTAAAGAGTGTAACAAGATCCTGCATCATTAAAAGATCTTAATCACATTTACTGTAAGCATAAAATAATTACGTTTTGGTCCAGACCCTACAAAAATATTTTACCCGACTCCCCCTGAGGCCAAAAGAACTTTTGTCCTGGACTTCAGTGGGAAAAAGTCCAAAATAATGGAAAAAAAAACCCCAACCACAATACAGACCTACAATAAAGTACTGCACATGGTAGCTTTTATCCCAAGTTTCAAGGTAATAAAACACTATTACAACATGTCTGGAATTTCACAGATGAAGGAATTAATATTTTATTGCATACATAAACATATTCTTAAAAGCAACTGGGGTGTAAAATCTCTGGCAGAAAAACCTTCAAGGTGGTAAAATCCTTCACCCCAGCACTTTTGCCATAAAAGAGGCATTAAAAAAAAAAGTTTGAAGGGGTGGCTAAAAACTACAAAAAGTTAAACGTGGCTCTTGTAACTGCTTGGAGCCTTTCCACACCTCACAGTGCTCAACCTAAGAATAGTACCATTACTGTTGCTGTGTTTGAGCAAATAGGTATTTGTGAGTCAACTGAAGTGAGGTTTAAAAGAGGAACTGTTGCAGAAGCAGGTGGGAAAAGCATTCCCAGTGAATTGCTGCCTCTTACTGGCTTTCCCCACGCAGATGTAGGTGAAGTCTTAACTCTACAATTAGACAGATCCCTTCAGACAGGTCCTGAGCTGAAACTGAAACACATAAGCTCGTTGCCCTGATTAGCACAAGACTCCATGAGTTTGGGTACACTTGTTAGTTCCTGGCCTCAGTACATATATTCTTTTTGTTTTGTTTCATGGCATTATGACAATTAAAAAAAAAAAAACAAAAAACCAAAACAAACCAAGCAGCCTACACTGAAACCAGAGGATTT